TCTGAAGAGGTTTGAAGTTAGCTGTTGATTGTGAGATTGTTTTCATGTTTAACATATAAATTTAGTTACATTACCTGTAATTTGATTTTAAAAGTAATTTGACAATATAGAAAAAAGTGTTCATTGCATTAAACTTTAACTCTTGGAAAAAAGAGAAAATATATAATATAAAATTAGATATTTAGATGAGAAAAATCATAGCAAATTTTAACTGTCAAAATCTTCTGATTTCCACTCCTAAAACCTCTAAATACATAGAAAAATATTAACACTAATAGTTTTATTAACTTCCTGGCTCTATTCTATTATACTTTGTTATATTTGAGGCTGCATATTCTTCACATATGCCAATAATTTTATAAAACTGTTTTCGGTAGAGAGACCAGAAAGGTAACTTGGTCTCTCTTAGCATAATAGATCTAATTTAATTTTTGTTATTGACAGTTCAGAAAGTTGCCTTTTAGCTTCTGAACTTGGTTTTTAGTAATTTTTGCACACTTGAAGAATTGTTGCCAAATTTAGAAAGACCCCTGTCAAGATTCTTTCATCTATCAGCTGAAAAATGGCAAGGAGTAAAAAAATAAATGTTTGATTCAATCATTTGCCCTAATTGCTCTTTGAATTGAAGGGATTTATTATCCAATTTATAATCAATGTCTTCACCATAGTGTAGTTACCTTTGTCAGCATTAGTATGTTATGTTGAATCAGCCAAAATAAATCCGTTTTACCCCCCCAATGTAAACATATTATTCATTCCATCTTTTAAAAGTAGATTATATTACAAAAAAAAGGGAAAATGAAGGAAATACACAAAACCACTGTACTGAAAAGAATTAGTCAACAGTGAAATATTTTAGGATGTACCATATGATAAGCGCCAATGTTAATGAAAAAAAAGTTAAAGTTGCACTGAAGGCAAAAAATAGGCCTTACTGGCAAAAAATAAGGCCTTAGAAATTAATGGGATACCAACTGACATGTTTCAGCTAACAAATGCAGCTCTGGACATATCACCAGTCTATGCTAGGAAATTTTGAAGACAGTTGCCTGGCTGACTGACTGTTTCATTCCCAAGAAGGCTGATCTGACAGAATGTGGAAA